TCGGTCCTACTAAATACCACACGACACCACACCACACAGGAACACACAAATGCAAAATGATTAAAATATTACCACACGAGAGTAGAAAACGACTTGATCAATAAAAACCAACTTATAGTATCATAGTTGTATGAATTATGGTAAAAATTGACTATTTTTTAACAGGTTTTTGCCGCCGTACTTCAGAAGGTAATGCGTTGACATTTAGTATCTCTAACGCATTGACGTCTGCAGAAACGTGTTCAACCATAACATTTTAAATAGGCTTACTACACTCACTAGCTACGTACAGTATGTTACATTCATCAAGACTATTATTTTAAAAATTCAAGGCACATCACATAAAAACTATTGAACTTTAAAATTGTAAATAAGAAACAGAAAAATAGTATTTGTTGTTAAAATCATTAACTTTATTATGTTATAAGTAGGCCTAATAGGCCTATACAAACTTGTGCTATTTATCATTGTTATCACATAATTATTATATTGTAATGTAATAGGCCTTATCTATTTCAATTATGTAGGCTAAATTACACAATTGGAAAATTTAAAAAATATATACAGTTCTTACAAAATAGGATTGAAATAAAGGTGGGCATGACTCACACGGAAGAGCAGAATTCATTTCGTTAGTTATTAGGGGTTTTGTTTATCAGGTTTTTTTAAATAATATACATTTCAGTGTACAACAATTGAGTAAAGGAGATTGCATTAATGTAAAATACATTATAAACAAATAAATTCAGGACGACCAATTTATCCGAAGTCAAGAATTAGATTCCATTGGGATACGAGTAAAATATAAACAAACAGATTCAAGATTCAAAAATATGTATTTAATTTATAGTAATCTTCTTTATTCCATTGATGTACACTGAAATAAAAAAAAAAAAACATGTATGAGCATTGAAAGAAATAGAAAAATAGAATAAATGTATCTAACAATACATTCAGAAATTGATAAAATTACTACTACTATATATAGGCCTGTTGCACATCCCTGAAGCTTGATGTGACATAGGCCTAGAAACTGGAAGGTCCATTGATTAAACTTAATCTCTATGTTTACTCCTAGCTAGCCCACTGTGCGTAGGCTAACTGGCCTCAACTGAGTCTGAGCTATGTGGCCTTTCTCTAGGCCTAGAGACAGTCGTGATGCGTTCAGTCCAAGTTTACCCTGACGAGGACGCTAACCGTGTATGCGCCACCCATCGTCGTAAGAACAGCATTGGGGGCTGTTTTCACGACGACTTGTAAAAATAGCCATAGCGTTAATTTATAGGCCTAGGCCTGCATGTTGGGTACGTTAGGGTATACATGTATATTTCCCGTGTAGCTATAGTATACATGTGCAGGCCTATGTATACAGTAAGTGGCGATTTCACTATCACATGTTTCGGTTGAGCTTTAGAGTGCTCTATCTTCCCGAGGTCTTCGGGTATCTACTGGACGTTGCACATGTATTAGTAATATGTTCTGAATAATAAACGCATTATTAATTAACAATGAAATGATAAAATAAATAATTTATATTCTTTGAAATGATAAGCGCATAGATTTATGCACTATATAGATATACCGAAGGGTCCACTGATCAGTCTCAGATAAGATAGTATAATACATACTCCAAGTATCGAAATGCACGCCATCGTGTCGGGATTCAATATTTTAACATTAATTATGTCATCATCAGGAATATATATCTGTATATAGATATACAGTAATAATAATAATAATATGCAAATGCGCTGAACCGAAGGTTGTAGTGCCTCAAGGCTGGTTGTCATGAACCCTGCAAGGGTCGTCACTACACTAGCATGACGAGCTGCTGCTAAATTTCCAGATAATAAATTTAGGCATAGAATTTTATTTTTCTTTTTAAACTTAAGGCTAGCCTCTACCCCTAAATTTCAGTATTTTGGAAAAATTTAAAAAAATCAGTTTTTTATGCCCATTGGCAACTTTAACTATTATATTAACTACCTGGCAACTTTTTAGAATAAAATATTGTTTTATTTATGTTAAAATTCACCTTTTAAAATTAGTATTTATCCAAATATTACATCTAAAATTTGTCTAAGAAGTTATTAAATATTCATAGCGCTATAACTTGACTATTAATGGGCCTACGGTTATGATTTTTGTACTAAAATGCAGATCTTTTTGAGTAGAATGCAATGATTTTTAGTCATAAAAGGCCTTCTGTGATTGGTTTTTTATTCCATTGAAAGATAGAAGAATTTACAATTTGGACCAATCACAAGCCGGCTTACAAGTCAGTTAGGCCTTACTTTGGCTTTAGCTTGTATCACTATACATTCTCACATGCTCTACACTCGTAAAATATAATCGAACTAAATGCCTGGTAAACGAAAGAAAATGAAATTCAGTGATGGTAAATCCAAGAAAAATGTTGAAAAAAGACTTGCACTAGGTATGTTTATATTGATTGTTTATAAAATTAAATATTTTTTATGTTAAATCTGTAAGTCTACTGTAGGCCGAAAAAGGTCACAGTTGCAGGGAGGACTGAGCACTGCTAGTGTGCTAGCAAAACCAGGTCATGGGCCTAGGCCTAGGTTATAAAGGCCTACCCTCAAATCACACTTTATAATTGATTTTAATATAGAGATAAATTAAATAATAATATAAATTGTAAAGATGTTATTGATTTTGAATAATTATATTTAAATATGCCTAGCTAGTAGGACCAGGCTTTTCTAACTATCCCAATCTATTTCACCACATTTTTTTCTGTAATAAAATGTGATAAATAATTATTATATTTTATAGAAAGTTAAAATTTATTTTTTATTCTATTTTTTAACTAATATTACAGCTCGTGCAAGCACGCATGCTTCAATGGGGTAGCTACTATCGAAATGCAATCTCAAATAATGGAGGAGATGTAAAAACAATGAGCAAAAGAATTTGGGCTATTTTACTGCACAGTAAATCAACGGACGATAGCCCACATCATGGTCTGTGTCCTCCGGGAAAAGAATCTTGGTGCTATTATCAGTCAGCTTTGGCGAGGGGTGAGATACCCGTGGCTCCAAGATCGCATCAACCATTGCCAGTACACATTGCGGATGCACTACAAAATGACTTTAAAAGTTTGACAGATCCACAAAAAGTTGAACGTTGTTGTCGAAATATGACACAAAATGCAAATGAATGTTTCAATTCGCTAATCTGGCGGAAATGCCCGAAAACTGTATTTGTTTCTAAGCAAATAATTGACATAGCTGTCTGTATGGCAGTTGAGTCTTTCAATAGAGGTGCTATTATTATTGTTATTATTATTGTTATTATTATTGTTATTATTATTGTTATTATTATTGTTATTATTATTGTTATTATTATTGTTATTATTATTGTTATTATTATTGTTATTATTATTGTTATTATTATTGTTATTATTATTGTTATTATTATTGTTATTATTATTGTTATTATTATTGTTATTATTATTGTTATTATTATTGTTATTATTATTGTTATTATTATTGTTATTATTATTGTTATTATTATTGTTATTATTATTGTTATTATTATTGTTATTATTATTGTTATTATTATTGTTATTATTATTGTTATTATTATTGTTATTATTATTGTTATTATTATTGTTATTATTATTGTTATTATTATTGTTATTATTATTGTTATTATTATTGTTATTATTATTGTTATTATTATTGTTATTATTATTGTTATTATTATTGTTATTATTATTGTTATTATTATTGTTATTATTATTGTTATTATTATTGTTATTATTATTGTTATTATTATTGTTATTATTATTGTTATTATTATTGTTATTATTATTGTTATTATTATTGTTATTATTATTGTTATTATTATTGTTATTATTATTGTTATTATTATTGTTATTATTATTGTTATTATTATTGTTATTATTATTGTTATTATTATTGTTATTATTATTGTTATTATTATTGTTATTATTATTGTTATTATTATTGTTATTATTATTGTTATTATTGTTATTATTATTGTTATTATTATTGTTATTATTATTGTTATTATTATTGTTATTATTATTGTTATTATTGTTGTTATTATTGTTGTTATTATTATTATTGTTATTATTATTGTTATTATTATTGTTATTATTATTGTTATTATTATTATTATTATTGTTATTATCATTGTTATTATCATTGTTGTTATCATTGTTATTATCATTGTTATTATCATTGTTATTATCATTGTTATTATTATTGTTATTATTATTGTTATTATTGTTATTATTATTGTTATTATTATTGTTATTATTATTGTTATTATTATTGTTATTATTATTGTTATTATTATTGTTATTATTATTGTTATTATTATTATTGTTATTATTGTTGTTATTATTATTATTGTTATTATTATTGTTATTATTATTGTTATTATTATTGTTATTATTATTGTTATTATCATTGTAAATATCATTGTTATTATCATTGTTATTATCATTGTTATTATCATTGTTATTATAATTGTTATTATCATTGTTATTATCATTGTTATTATCATTGTTATTATTATTGTTATTATTATTGTTATTATTATTGTTATTATTATTGTTATTAATCTTATTATTATTATTGTTATTAATCTTATTATTATTATTATTATTGTTATTATTATTGTTATTATTATTATTACCTGTTTTAAACAAATTTAATGTTTTCATGTAGGCCTATTATACTGTACTGTATGCATGTTTTTCTCTCATATTCCATACATATTTTTTTTCTCTTAATTTTCTGTTTATACTGTACCTGAATAAATATAAAATGATATTTTTCCACTTCTTGATACCATGTTCCTTTTTTTTTGTCAGCAGCAAAAATGCCTTCCTGATGAGCCTTCATTAGTAGAGACATTTAACTATGAATGTTAATGTACAAAATTAAATATTATGAATATTAATTTGTAAATGCTTAAATATTAATTTAGTTATATAATGATTTTTAATGTTATATTACTCAGGTTTAACTGATATCAATGGTGATGGTGAAAACAAGTTAGTCGTTGCAGACTTGGGAACCGGATCTTACGATATGAAACTAAAGGTGTACCGTGGCACAAGTCTGGTGAATGAAAACGCTATCATTGATCTACCAACTGGTGTGTGTGCATTCCACATGGATAGCAATGAGCCCAGAGTTCCAGGTACATATTTCATCAACCTGTCTGATACAACATACATAGTGTATCCAATTATGTACTACAGTACCTGGGTTACCAATTGTGTATCTGAAGGGAAGCACTGAGAATGTCTCCCACAGAACAGTTAGCACCTTTTCAGGTGTTCCCCCCCCCCCAACCATGATAATAGATACAGCCGTGGGTGCCTACATATTATTCACTATTGACTGACTGGCCTAGAACTAACTATTATCATGTCTTGTTAAAAACTAAAGGAAATACACAAACACTTATATTATTATAATTTTTATATTTAGCTGTTGCTGCAGCTTCTGGTCCCTACATCTATGTATACAAGAACCTGCGCCCTTACTTTAAATTCACATTACCCCCTCTTGAAGTGAACCCAATTGAGATAGATCTTTGGAACCAGGTTAAGGAGGTAAGAAACAAATAGTAATGATTTCCCTTTGTTGCTTCTAGATTCCTGTATTTCTGTTTTTAATTTATTATTTCTTTGTTTCTGTATACTGGTTAACCTTTCCAGTATCAGGACCCAAATTTGGCTTAGCTTAAAATTATGTATTATAGGCATAAGAAGTTAAGTTATGACAAGATTTGAACCCATGACATTGTGTTTGAAAAGGAAGCCACCAATTTACATTCCACTATAGTTTATATATTGTCACAAGATTACAAAGTCAATTTGAAATAAACAAAAAATTATACTATTTTGCTGTATGGGAATGAAATATGGGGGGTAGCTGAGTTTTCTTTGATAAATTCTGAATTTACTTTGTGACAAGAATATTAAAAACAGTTTTTAAAAATCTTATTAAACTATTTCTGAT